CATGCATAGACGCTGTGCTGCAGTTATTGCCGCTCGTGGTGGTGACACTAGATACTGAGGTCAAGAGTCTGAATGGACTGCAAACGTTCACGTAATGTCTTGAAATTGTGCTGAGTTATTCATTGATGTGTCAAGATATTGTACACAAAAACTGGTTTGATCCGCTTATTATGTCGATTTCTGTAATTATTTGATTACAGTGCCTATCTAACTTTGAATTCGTACTGATGGGGTTTTTTTGCTGCTGAGTAGAGAACAGATGCTTATCGGGTGGCATAAAAAAATTAAATGAAGATGTTTGTTCTTTGCATCCTTCCGGTTCAGTGGTTGTACAACATCTTTGTGATTGTTGTTTCCTGCTCCTCTGACTGTGGTCAATGAGGTAGCTCTTGCCAATCATCAGAGAGATTCGACATGGACAAAATCACGCCATGGGTTCAGTATTAGATGGCAATGCCTTGTGGATCTCAACCTTCGTCACCGGGTCTGACAGAAATATAAGTGAAATATAGAGAGGAGTCTTTGACGAAGTCATACATAAGACATTTGACTTCATACGGCTTGCTGTCACTGGCATTTTAAATAACATCCACGTAATTAGGTGGGGTACAGGTACATCTGTGCCGCACGGTCCGCTCGATGACATTGTGACTTGACTCGTACTCCGAGTGAGTGTGATCTTGTCAAGGCACTTCTGGGTGATAGTCACCTGGGCCCTTATTCTCGAAACATTCGTAGCCCTAAATATTCTTAACTTTGATCGTAGCCAATGTGTTAAGAATGGGTTTAAGAAGTTCGTAGGGCTACGAACGTTCCGATAATAACTAACCTGCTTCTCAGACGCCAGGCTCAATAATGCATTGAGTGAGTGCCCGAGTGAGTGAGTGAGTGAGTGAGTTTAGTTTTACGCCGCACTCAGCAATAGTCCAGCTATATGGCGGCGGTCTGTAAATAATCAAGTCTGGACCAGCCAATCCAGTGATCAACAGCATGAGCATCGGTCTGCGCAATTGGGAACCGATGACATGTGTCAACCAAGTCAGCGAAACTGACCATCCGATCCCGTTAGTCGCCTCTTACGACAAGATAGTCGCCTTTTTAGGGCAAGCACATGGGTTGCTGAAGACCTATTCTACCCCGGATCTTCACGGGTCGCATTGGCCCGAGTTGCATTCCCAGTTTGATAGAAGATGCAGATGACATGATGTGAAGCCGGATCAAAGATGTTATAGTTGTGATAGGCCAGCTTAGTTGTATACTGCTCTTCACTACCAGTTGGTGATGGTACCACCAACACATCCTGCAGATCTTCACCTTTGATCGTTTTCTGTTTGTCAAATTCCTTTTCAGTTCTGGCTTCTTCATGCTTCACATGACTTGAACAATTTCATCCGATATATTGCCTGCTTTATGACATACACATATGTCATTGGTCTTTTTAGACGTGGAGAATTCAATGTTTTTATTGTGACACTCATCTGCAAGTGCTAGTCGTGTCACTGACCGAGTATTGGGTGCCAGAAACATTTGATTTTCAGAAACTTCTACAATAATGGGATAGCAGTTTTGGTAATCGATACAACACAAGTATCAAGGATTAAGTGTTACAATTCCTTTGGAGTGCTAAAGATGTGAAAAGAAAAAAAACAATATACGTGGTCAGTTATCCAAATTCTTAAGTTATGTGTCAAAACTTGTTTTTTATGCTTATTTCACAGCATTCAATGAATGCCATAATGTTCGTGGTATTTCTAGCACAATACCACTCTAGTAATGTAAAGAAGCATCGGAACACATTTTCAGAAAATGGTAGCGCTAAAATTTACGAGGTAAACATGTATGACATGTCGTATTGAAAATAGTATGTAACCATACACTTAACCCTTTTAAATGTTCAACTTGTCTGATTCAATAGTATGAACTGTTTCAGTCAGAGGTAGTTACAGTGATTTGAAACCTTTGATTTCATCAGAATTGCGTGGTATCCGAATGCATTCTAGAATATCTGAAGCGTTTATCAACGGAAACGGGTCCTCTTCAGTATTCATCTGTTGTAAGTAAATGTTCTCCTAAGTATTTTAATAACTAAACTTATTTCATAGTTCTATTAGTTTTTCTTGTGTTTTCTTTCTTAGTGTATAATAGTTGTTATTGACAAATGAAGGTTTCATGCTTGTTGTGTGTCCTGACACATTTTAACTTTGTTTCAGACATACTTGAAGCTTGGTTGGAGCGTCTCATCTTTGGTGTTACCTGTACAAATAAAACCTGTGCAACATCAAAGGGTGGACTCACAGAACGTGTGACAAGGGGCGTGTCTGTCTCGTGTCACCTGACAGGCAGTCAGGTGACCGAACGTGACAGAAACCTTGGCAACCAAGTCAGTGTACACAGACCTGGGGACTGAACCCGTAATCTGCAGTAGAGAACAAATATCCAAACCTCGCTGTTAACTGAGCCAAGGAGGTCTTTTTTAGACCATGTGCTAATTCAAGCCTGGCCTAAAGGGATTCGGTTGGGTCATCCTTCCTTCTACTGGTTCAACATTTCTACTTGTTTGTTTGTTGTTTAACGCCACACTCAGCAATATATGGTGAGCTACATGGGGCAGAAAGCAGGTTTCATATTGCACGATTCGCCCAAGCAGGGAAATCCTAACAATGTATATGTGACAGTATGTCATAAACAGGAAAATATTCAGACAGGATATATTAGATAATATTGTACTTCAATATATTTTAATGAAATATGCAATATCCTTTCTATAAAATCAGCCTTTGTCTATATCAATATCACTCATTAGTCTATGCAATTGCAGTCGCATGCAATCATACAACTGCACTAATCACCTATGCCTGGATGAACAATGTCCAGTAGACAATACTGAATGTTATTCTCCTGAATCTTGCTCTCACATAAAACAATAAGCATAACTCTCACATTAAACAATAAGCTGAACTCTCACTCATAACAGAGCGGCTTTTTATCACAGAACCAGCATACAAAATCTTTGTAACACTGGTTTTCGAAATACGTCTTCGGAAGAGTCTAGATAACCGCGCTCGTCCACTCCCCTGAAATATGTGATGTCAATCATTGGATCATCTGGTCCAGACTCGATCATTTACAGACCGCCATCATATAGCTTGAACACTGAAGCGTGCGGCGTCTAACAGCAAACGAACATATCACTGTGAGTAAATATTTCCATTTGGTTGCCAACGTCAACATATTTTTAAAAACCGGATTCGAAGCGGGTGATCATGAACAAATTTCAATCACTATCGAGGTTGAATTACCAATAGCAAAAGTCCCTATCATCCTTCGACAAAATGTCGTGCGGTGTCTGTGAGTCCCTAACGGTTGTCTGTGTCGTCCGTGCAAACCTACCACGTGCAAACACAAGAAAGAGCCATCTCATCTTCTGCTGTGGTCATGTGACCTAACAGTTGATTGACAATGTCATTCTGCAAGATCGATGTGGAATGGATTACTTGTGTACAGGCGAGGTTTCAAAGGGCGTTACTCTCACGATACGCGAACTGTCACAATACGCCCCTCGAAACACATTCGTCATTCCATACAAGATTTAATATCTGCGTATCACGATTAGGTAAAGACTAGGATTTGAATGTCAAGCTTGTGCCACTGGAACATAAGCGAGAGACATTCACTCTACTGTTAGTTTTGTTTCTTTAAAATAACGCAACGAATTCGGAAAAAACAGCTGCAGTTGAGAACTAAAAACCCCAGAATATGTAAAACTTTTGTTTAAAATATATAGTTGTTCTTTGCTTCAGTTATAGACATTTTAGCCACGTGTTTCCATATTACTAACATAAGATATTGCTAACATCAGATAACATTAAACTATAATATTTTCCATGCATATTTACGCCTTGGTAATATTCTTACCACCGAAGGTCATGATCCAAGCGTGAGTGAGTTTGATAATACGCCGCTTTTAGCAATATTCCAGCAATATCACGGCGGGGGACACCAGAAATGGGCTTCACACATTTCACCCATGTGGGGAATCGAACCCGGGTCTTCGGAATGACGAGCGAAAGCATGATCCAAGAGGTTATGGAAGGAACAAAGACTGTTTTCTAAACGACCAAAAGGCTGTTGGGCCAAAAGGAGGCAAACACCTGGAGTGACTGTGTGAGCTGACTTTAACCTTGCTTGAACAAATCCCCTGTATCTCCACAGCTCGCATTTTCGTAAACGTACACTGAACCATTGGCCTATCCCGTCTTCGCAAATTACCCGCCATTCTGCCTTATTAACACTTTTGCGACCAATCAAACGTCGACTCTTTGAAATGGTAGGGGAGGTAACTCGTGTTACTAAGAAACGAAGTTTTAATGGCCAAGAAGACATCCTTATCATCAAATTGGCGGTTTTTCAATATTAAATTTCTCGCAAAGTCGATCATAGTCAGTGGGACTGTCAGCTACATATTGCCAACCCAACTTTGAGCCAGGTTTGTAACGTGCATTGTCATTGGCACATTAGACCAAGTAGCGTAGCCAGTGAAGTTGGCAAATGGAAATCAAGGATGAGTAACTGGACATTGAGAGAGCCACGGGAATGGATCCAGGGATTTGTGTAGGTTTACCGAAATGCTTGGAGCTAAATAGGATGCTTTGAACTGCGTTTCGTGTGATCGCAATGGGGAAGGGATGCTCACCTCCAACGTATACCAGTTTGATAAAAACAAGGAGCACGGGCATGGTCCTAACAGACCTTGAAACACAATAATGGCGACCAGGAACAGGAAGAAAGAATGTTTATTGATGGATAGATGAAAATAAATTACTAACAGTTCTACAAGAGAATTAGTATCCGTATATAACACAAACCCCGTACATATGAACAGTTGCAGGTTAATAGCACAGGCAATAAATACTTCACATGCACAGACATTCAAACATGATTTTCTGCAATGATTTTCTTAAATATTCGTTTTCTAGTAGAAACACCATTCCGCCAAAAGCATGAATCTCGCATTAGTGGTTACTCTTCGTTGGTCTTGGTAACCCACATCTCACACTGGAACTGGGATGTGATTCTGGTGTGACGTCATAATGTGAGTTGTCAAGTCCGATTGGTGCAGAAAACTTACTCCACACAACTGACACATGACTGTTTGTTCCCGCGCATGCGTATTAACACGTGTGTTCTCCAGCACGTGCGAGCGTCGATGAGCAGTCAGGGTACTGGCCAGAGTGAACCCTTTACCGCAGATGTCACACTTGTGAGGCCGTTCACCTAAACAAACAAACAATACAGCGTCACATGAAGTACAAAACGGTTTTGGGAAATCGAATTCACGAGATGAATCGAAAATACAAACTTACGATAATTCAACAATAAGGAAGAAAATTCTGTAATGTTTAAACGAAAAACACTGAGCCACGAAAAAAGGAAGGTAACAAAAAGAACCACTGGTTTGTCTGGGCCTCGCATTTCGGTACCTTGAACTAAACTCTTGGGCCTAGATTTTCGAAGCACCCTTAGAGCTAAGATAGTCGTATGTTAATGTTTATGTATGGCACTAGGAGAGCTTCGAAAATACAGGTCCTGGATCCATTCGGGTGGTTCCGGCATTCTCAGATTACTTGCCCTTGATTACCATTTGCCAGCATAAATCTGGCTACGCAACTAGGTCTAAGGTGGCAATGAGAATGCGAATTACAACTCACTTTCAATGTCAACCACACGGCTCACGGTCCTTATGATTATGATCGAAATTGAGAGAAATTCACCGATGAAAATCTGACAAACACGCAGAAGAAACCCTCATAAATAGTTTTATCCTGAAATGGATGTCTTTAGGTTCGTTAAAACTGGCAGGTGGCGTCTATGCAGTAAGAGGTACATGCCGTGCCCTTCCCCTCATGTCGACGTTTGATTGGTCAGCAAGGTGTTAATGAAACTGAAGCGCGGGTAATTCTCGATTGCAAGAACCAAGGAAGTCGAACCAGGGGTAAGTGTAGGTTTACCAAAGGCAAGCCCAGGAAATATAGAGAATGTGCTGTGACTAAATACACGATAAATACGGGGAGCAATGCAATCATTCCTTTACAATACATAACCCGTGAAGGTCCGGGTTAGAATATTGATCTTCAGTAACCCATGCTTGTCGTAAGAGGCGACTAACGGGATCGGGTGGCCAGGCTCGCTGACTTGATTGACACATGTCATTGGTTCCCAATTGCGCAGATCGATGCTCATGCTGTTGATCACTGAATTGTCTGGTCCAGACTCCATAATTTACATACCGCCGCCATATAGCGGGAATATTGCTGAGAGCGGCGTAAACCTAAACTCACTCACTCACTCACTTTACAATAGGTTTTCACTACGGCCTGTGGCCTGTTTTACCTGTATGTGTGTAACAGTGTATCTTCATGTCGATCTTCTGGTGGAATCCCTTCCCGCAGTACGGGCACAGGAAGGGCTTGTAGTTAGTGTGAGTGCGCATGTGCGTGTGAAGGTTGGAGGCTCTGTTGAAGGCCTTGTTGCACGTGGCGCACACGTACGGCTTGAAGGTCGTATGGGTCAAACGATGGCGTGTCAGATTGCCTGGCTGGCGGAACGCTCGACCACACTGCTCACATTTGAAGGGTTTGTCACCTGTGTGAATGCGCTGAAAACAAATAGTCCCGTGTTCAATGAATTCGACAACATCTGAATCAACCTATGATAAGCACATCGTATAACCATGACGTTGACATGTTTGAATTTGTTATCATCAAATTTAATGTATCACTCATTCACCGATTCTGGTTTTCTTTCTTCGTTAAACTGCTTACTTTGAAAATGCACAGTTGACATACTGGGACCTAGTTTCATGGAATGATCTGTATATACATGGTGTTACAAACCACTAACTGACAGACCAGTCAAGATCCGGGTTAGAATTGATCTTCAGTAACCCATGCTTGTCGTAAGAGGCTACAAACGGGATCGGGTGGTCAGGCTCGCAGACTTGGTTGACACATGTTACCGTATCTCAGTTGCGTAGATCGATGCTCATGTTGTTGATCACTGGAGTGTGTGATCCAGACTCGATTATTTACAAACCGCTGCCATATAGCTGGAATATTGCTAAGTGCGGCGTCTAAATGCGTGTAATGTTTCTGCAAAAGTAACTACATGTACGTACCTTGTGAGTGACGAGTGTGTTGCTCCTTGAGAACGACTTGCCGCACGTGTCACATTTGTACTTCTTGACCGGTGGGGGTTTGTCTGTGTGGGTCCGCCGATGGTGCAGTCCCTCCAACTGTAAGAACGCCGGGTGCAGTCCACCCACCCCATGTGTCACCCCACCCAAAGGGAAATGTCGATTCGACTTTGGGTACAGCCTTCCGTAAGGGGTGTGCTGCTCTGGAGTCAGATCACGCTTCATCACTGAAGCTACACCGGGCATGTGGGCACTCATTACTTCGGTGTCCGGTTGTCTGAGTTTCTGAACGTCATAGTCATGTTTAATTTTATTGTCATTTCTTTGAGGTGTACAGTCTATTTCAGATTTGCAGTCATCAGATTCAGAGTTGTCTTCATTTCTGGGCGATTTCTGAAGAAGCTTTGAAAGGTTCATGAGGTATGTTGTAAATGGAATGCTGGTGTCAACAGTTGTCCAAGGACATGTCGGATCACTAGGGACTCCTTTAACACACACAGTGGGTAAGGGAGGAAGAGAGATTGCGAATGCTGGTGATGGGTACATCTGAAGAGGTGGAGTCGAAAGAGCGTCTGTCTTCTGAAGGGTTCTGAACATTGGATGGGGGTACATCTGGCCGTAAGCTACTTCCGGTGTTAGCTTACTGTGCGTGGAGGTCGTGTTATATCTTAGAATCGGCTCGAATGCTGACCTCTCGGACAGGTTCAGAGGTGATGACACCTTGTCGTCGCGTTGATGTTCAGGTGACGTAGATGTGTCAGAACATGCCATGCTGTCGGCGACGCCGCTGTCGCCACAGGAGTCGACGGAAGACGTCTCTGATTCGTCCTCTGGTACTAGAAGAAAGAACAGGGGCTTTATTTGTGAAGTACCGATTGTAATTGGTGTTTAGGACAATGTTTTCTCCTAAATGAAGCTCTCACTCTATGACTGAAACAATACCAAAGCCCTCTGTGTGATACACAGCCGAGAGATCGGAAATCATCATAATCGTGTAACGTTAGTGTTCAGAGAAGTGGTTACATCGCATCAATCATATCCGTTTAACAGACTTCGCCCCACTCAGAGCTTTATTTTAACCACAATGCGTACACACGCCTGGAACAATGATAAGCTGTAACATTTACATACAAAGTAGTCATTCATGAAAATTGTATACCTTTCAAATCTATATAAAAATAATTCTTCTCAATGGGACAGGCCAATATTGAAATTACACAAACCGGAATTACACAAATGGATTATCGAGTTATGTATTTTGTAGCTCCTCCGTCTCCATAGCTCTTACTACCCTTTCAATTTTTTCGGTCTTCTTCTTTGTATCGTGGGATATCATTCAGTTTTAGCCACCATAGGGGGCAAGCAAAGTTAGATCAATGTCATATATTGGCGCCATTTCCGAAAGATACATGGGAGATATATGAAACAAAAGTCGGGTGTCCGGGGGTACAGGTATATGCGGGACAGTTGTTTCCGTTTGTATCCAAGCGTCTGAATATACTGATGTCGATATGGACAGGATGCCGCACAACTCCAATACCGGTTTTGAGCAGACTGACGTTCAGATCTCACGGAAAGTGCGACCATTTGATGTCGATCCAATCAGAACATCGGACTATCTCCTAACTGTCGAAAAGGGAACTTTTACCATTATTGAAGTGTAGAATTGTGTATTTTCAAAATACAAATATGTAAAAGGGGCATATTCTTACCTTCTTGTTCCTTGTACAAAACCTCCAGTAGTTTCTTTCTCTTGCCGCTCATTAGGAATGATTTGGGCATATCGGATTAGCTGTGATGTGTTGTGTACAGTTAAACCGCTCACCTAAATCTGCAACCCCTAATCCAAAGTATCTACCTTATTCTCACTACAGAACGGCGGGTGTTGAGGCTCGGCCAATGAGAGGCGAGACCGTGACCAATCAAATTCAGCGTTGCTCCTTTTAACGGCGATGGACACCCGTGAACCGCTGCCCATCAGGAAACCGAATGATTTGATTGGTTGATGAGCACGGATCTACTGATGCCTCCGTATATTTTAGCCCGTCTTTGTTTGAATAAAGTTGTGCTTGGTAGGGAAACATAACATTAATATTTGTTTCAGCTGTATTATATTCTTGTACTTATATTATCTTTCTGGTGCTTCCCACTAACCGACTTTGAAAAAAAGACCTGTTAGTAGATATCTGCGCATGAAACAATTCAATATTTGAAGGTATGAAATGAAGAATGGTGTCTTTGAGGCCTCACATGGCAAGATGAATTGTACTTGTAAATTATGTATTAAATACGATGTATAAATTAGGTGTAAATGATTTTTTAAAAGCACGGACATGAACTCCTTCCTAAGCTTATTCTTCTTCTAATTATTAGTAGTTTCTATGCTTAGTAGTAGTAGAAGCAGCAGCAGCAGCAACAGTAGTAGTAGTAGTAGTCGTAGTAGTAGTAGTAGTAGTCACTGACACCTACATCCTACTCCCTTATACCATTGGGAAAGACTACAATAATTAGTTCATCACAAAGCTGTTTCGTGCCGCCAAGGTGTACAAAAAAACAACCACGCATATAGCTCAAATTAAAAGAAATTCGGGCACTCCTGAGAGTTATAGGAAGTAAAATATTTGGAATAATGATAACATGTTAACGATTATGAAAAATATTGTCTTTTAAGTTTCTTTGTTATAACTGAAATTGATATTTACTTTAAGAACAAAATTTGGCTGTGTTTGAATAAAAGATACCATTTTAGCTGTATTTTTAATAATTCAGTGATTACATTTACTTTTCTGCATTTGCATGTTTATAAAAATAGTTTCGTAAGTGTATACATCGATACGAATTAAAAGAGACTATACTTCAATCGCTATCGACACAACAACTCGACTGATAACCTGTCTTAAGTGAGCGCTGGATTACGCGCTCAACTGGTAATGCTAACTTTAACTGGCATTTTGCATAAGATAACACCCAAACCGTGCTTTATTGAAATCAGGGACCCAAATTCGTGTCACAAGTTGATGCAGATTAATTTAAAACTGGCAAATCTTATTAGCGGAGACACTATTGGTAACAAATACATCAGCATACTGTGTCAGACGGTAGCTGAACGCGCACAGACCTCGAGGCAAAATACCCTATGTTTTAAAGCCAGATTATCATAGCGAATACTGTCGTTGTTTGTAAGTATATCAGGGCACTGAAGCAAACATACTTTCCGTAAAACCATATGTTCTGTGTAAGTAACAAAACTCGACAGATTCAACAATAGCGTGGATTAATTCCTATTAGGAAAGGATGGGATTAAACACATTGATTAACAAAGGGTTGGCGCTGGATTAAGATGATCTTAATACCAAATAATATTCAGTGTATGTATACAGATCATATAACTGACAACTGACGTATGTTGGTGATGGTTCAGTAAACTTCTCCAGATGGATTCGTTGTTTCAACTTTGACCAATATTTCTGTGATAATATGAGCGATAAAAGGTCCAAATGATGCAGGTGTTACACGTATAACTGTAGACTTGAAGCCAGGGTATAATGCTGACAAACCTGAAAACAATATCAACCAAAAGACGGATTCGAACCCGCCACCACAACTCCCGCATGCGTAAGGGCGGAACTCTGCAGGGCGAATTTCTAAGATGATTAGGCTAAGCGTGTCACCTCATGTAATGCTAATGATAGGTTTCATTGACACTTACAGTATTGGTTTTAACTATGTCCCAAACTCATTTGTTGGGGAAAGTATAGTATATGACACTGTTTGCATCTTACATGCATCGTTACAAGCTATGACCAGCCATGTAGCAGGTATCGCGGTCGGTTGCCAGTTCACACTGACATCGATCGCTGTTCGCCAGGTATGTCCGAAACATAAATAATCACTCTCTCACTCACCGAAACTGTAGTAACTAACTTCAAAGACCAGTTGCGAAATGACAGGCTCCCGAATAATGTACAGAGTAAACCTATGTTCCAACATAATGTTAGGGATATCCATATAATTTCATATGGCTAATTTGGCTAACATGCCTGGTAAAAGAAAGTATGGACCCAGGTGTTGTGCTGGCTAAAGGTGAAACATAACCAGAAATGGTCATTCGGTCTTCATGTTTTGGATATGGGTATACAGTTGTTTCGGACCTTAAGTTTACAGTGTTTCGGACCTTAGGTTTACAGTGTTTCGGACCTTAAGTTTACAGCGTTTCGGACCTTAGGTTTACAGTGTTTCGGACCTTAGGTTTACAGTGTTTCGGACCTTAAGTTTACAGCGTTTCGGACCTTAGGTTTACAGTGTTTCGGACCTTAAGTTTACAGCGTTTCGGACCTTAGGTTTACAATGTTTCGGACCTTAAGTTTACAGCGTTTCGGACCTTAAGTTTGCAGTGTTTCGGGACCTTAAGTTTGCAGTGTTTCGGACCTTTAGTTTGCAGCGTTTCGGACCTTATGTTTTAGCGTTTCGGACCTTAAGTTTACAGCGTTTCAGACCTTAAGTTTGCAGCGTTTGGGACCTTAAGTTTACAGTGTTTCGAACCTTATCTTTTAGCGTTTCGGACCTTAAGTTTACAGTGCTTCAGACCTTAAGTTTGCAGCGTTTCGGACCTTAGGTTTCGGTGTTTCGGACCTTAAGTTTACAGTGTTTCAGAAGTTATATTTGCAGCGTTTCGGACCTTAAGTTTACAGTGTTTCGGACCTTAAGTTTACGGTGTTTCGGACCTTAAGTTTACAGTGTTTCGGACCTTAAGTTTACAGTGTTTCGGACCTTAAGTTTACGTCGTTTCAGGCCGTATGTTTGCAGCGTTTTGGCGTCTGTTTCATCCTGGTAACGTGTTGATAACATTAGTAATATTTGAGTCCAATCAAATATTCAGGCGTGTACTTTCCGGCCTGGCAGTTTATACAGAATCGGGTGTTCGATATTGTGATTATCATTATAGTCCGCCAGGACAACAATACAGTTCTGAAGTATCAGTGGGCCCTTCGGCAATACAGGGGCCTAATATAAGTGTTCCTCCCTACCCATACTACAGCGACTTACAGCCACCTGATACTGGTGAACTATGTGCATCATTCCTTAAGTATTACCACGTTAGTGTAACCAATCACAGATGATCCTAAATGATCAAAGATTAGCGCCATACGCCTTCTAGGTGAGATTTTTATAAGCGATAATCCCCTAATCCTGACAGATCCAGTTGTTTCCCCGAAATCCGAAAGTTCATGAGATTAGCTCCGCCGAACAAGGTTGTTTAACCCAAGTTGGTGTAAGCTTACGTGGAACAGCGGCTTGCGAGGCTAGATTACCTTTACAGTCTAGTCAAGTGTCGCTGTGGTTCTCTGTTATATCAGGAAAGCCAGTCTTTCAAAAGCAGCACCTTACCAATACCTCGCAGTAATCAACAAACGGGGCTACCTAAACCAACTGACTCCAAAGGATCACCACATACTTTATTAAAGACAGTTTAGTTCTAGAATTTCTCTCTGTAAAGAAATGTGTGCTTTATTAAAATTCATGCCTTAACCACCATCTTCCTATCCATGATAACAGGGAGGAGGTAAATGCACCTCAATAGAATGTATAACCTTTATAACAAAGAGAGACATTGGAGATGGATTTCAATATCTTTTTATGCGTTCAGTATTTGAACAGAAACACGCCAGTATCCTTCATCCAGCTCTTTGAAAAAACAAGTCTGCTTAAAATCTGCAACCTGTTCAACGCACATATAGTTTCAATAATTCTGAGCCAAACACGGAATATTTTTTTAACCACACCCAACTTGTTTATATCAATGCGTTCGATTTCTTGCATCTGATTTATGTTAAAATCCATCTGTGTAAGTATTTATATCATCTATGAGCCAATATGTTGCTGATGAGTGTAACAAAGGTCTGTTCTGTCAGCACTCAGCATCATGTGCTGTATGGACACAGTGTAGCAACGTGACAGCCAGAATCATGACAGTCCAGTGTGGTGTGGTGTTGTGACAGCCAGAATAATGACAGTCCAGTGTGGTGTCGTATGGTGTTGTGCCAGACAGAATCACGACAGTCCAGAGTGGTGTGGTGTTGTGACAGCCAGAATCACGACAGTCCAGTGTGGTGTGGTGTTGTGCCAGACAGAATCACGACAGTCCAGTGTGGTGTGGTGTTGTGCCAGACAGAATCACGACAGTCCAGTGTGGTGTGGTGTTGTGCCAGACAGAATCACGACAGTCCAGTGTGGTGTGGTGTTGTGCCAGACAGAATCACGACAGTCCAGTGTGCGTCGTGTGGTGTTGTGACAGCCAGAATCACGACAGTCCAGTGTGGTGTGGTGTTGTGCCAGACAGAATCACGACAGTCCAGTGTGGTGTGGTGTTGTGCCAGACAGAATCACGACAGTCCAGTGTGGTGTGTCCAGTCTAGCGTGTTGTGCCAGACAGAATCACGACAGTCCAGTGTGGCGTGTGGTGTTGTGCCAGACAGAATCACGACAGTCCAGTGTGGCGTGTATGGTGTTGTGCCAGACAGAATCACGACAGTCCAGTCTAGCGTCGTAGGGTGTTGTGCCAGACAGAATCACGACAGTCCAGTCTAGTGCCGTATGGTGTTGTTCCAGACAGAATCACGACAGTCCAGTCTAGCGTCGTATGGTGTTGTTCCAGACAGAATCATGACAGTCCAGTCTAGCGTCGTATGGTGTTGTGCCAGACAGAATCATGACAGTCCAGTCTAGCGTCGTATGGTGTTGTTCCAGACAGAATCATGACAGTCCAGTCTAGCGTCGTATGG